TAATGGAGGAAATAAAATAATACCAAAATTCTCGTTTTTGATGTAGATTAATAAAAACCAAAAAAATAACTTCTGTGCCTCACCGTAAAAATTAAAAAAAAATTCTGTGCATATTGTGACACAATATGCAATAATTACAGTTTTGATGTTTTGATTAGGGATGGGTTCGGTCGGCTACGGTCAGCTATTATCGGTGTCTAAAGCATTTACTACTGTTTTCATAAATTCTGGGACATCTGGCAAAAAATTGACCGACCGAATATTTGCCGGTTCGAAAAGTTTGTATTTCGGTAATAATTATATAATGTATATATCACTATGACAGTTGATATAATGTATATATCAATATGATAATTATAACTATTTTACCACTTTTAAATGGATCTTTTGTTACTGGTTGCGTTGTAATTGTACATTAGAATTCAGTTATTGTTAATATTAGATTCGGTTGCTGTTACATTGGATGTTGCATTAGTTTGGTTGCTGCTATATTGAACTTATATTAGATTCGATTGCTGCAGATTCAGCTTCTATTGCTTTAGGCAAGTCGGGTATTTCAGATTCGATTGTGATTATTTCAGACAAGTTAGACGATTTTAAAATATTTGTTATGGGTGAACAACCTAAAGGCTCTTTAGCCGTTTAAAATATTTGTTATGGGTGAACAACCTAAAGGCTCTTTAGCCGTTAAATTTATTTTTCAATACTTTCGTCTAGTTCATGTTGATTTTCTTTTTGATCTATATTTTTGATTATTGTTATAGATTAAATTTTTGAAATAATATAAAAATAATATATAAATTTTTTCCTTTGATTTCGTTTATTATATAATTCTTAACGCAGTTTTGACAAAGGTTAATAAATCTTGGTTGTTTGGAATTATAACTTGTGTGATATTTTTTTTAATCCAGTCAATAAATTCTTGATCATATCGAACTTTTTTTTTATTAGCGCCTGCTCGTGTAATATATTTATTCGAAACCTTTTTTTATGTTTTTTATTAAGATCTGTTGGTTGACAAGAACAATCTTCGCCATAAGTTTCCGTACAGACAAGACACACCAAACATACTGGACATGCGTTCAAAAACTTAAATGTGTTGACATTGTAGTACTATCGCTATGTTTTAAAAAATTGAATATTAATTATTAATCACACCCGAATCAGAAGTTTATCACTGCCGAATCAAAAACTTATCGAACCGGCAAATATTCGGTCGGTCAATTTTTTGCCAGATGTCCCAGAATTTATGAAAACAGCTGTACATAAACAGATCAGCCCGAAAATACGGAAGATCCCGTAAACATGAGATGCCGTGAACGAAGTCACGGACCATCCATTTGTCACGAGATCACGACCTAGACCCATGATGACAGGTTGACGATTTGTAGGTCGGCTTTGTAAGTATGATGTATTGAGCGATGGTAAGTATGATGTATTGAGCGATGATAAATATGATGTATTGGTGATGAGGATCGTTTGATTGATTAAGTGAAAGTAAGTATGAGGTCATGGGAAAGGGCTATATAAGGGAGAGTAATGGAATTTGGTTATTCCTCTTTTGTCTTTGCTGCTAGCTCGACAAAAGTCTAGCTTCGTCGTTAGCGTCCACCCGGGATGGGTTGAGGGGTTATGTATGTCGATAGCCCGGGTGGACAGCCCGGATGTCTGTGATAAGTACTTTGATAGCACTACAAAACAGCTCGGATATCAAAGAAAAGGACAGAGTAATAGGCGGGAAAAGGCCGATACCAGGGACCTGCTATAGACCACATGAGCAGTGAGGCAAAATCACATAGTGTTTCCGTAGTTCAGTGGTTGTATCTTATGTTATTAGTATACCGGGTGATCAAGTGACAAATGATAATTAATTGGCCCTATATCACGTGTCGGCTAGCCTGTCGGCTAGCCAGTCGGCTAAGCCGCTATAGTCGGGCTAAGCCGCTCTAGTCGACTATTATCGACCACGGCAATAGCCGGTCGGCTAGCTGACTTCAAGCTGACCGAACCCATCCCTAGTTTTGATTAATAATAAATCAAAAACAAAATTCTTTGAGTTCCCTGCTACGCTTCAGGCAATAGAAATAAAAAAAAAAAGAAAAGAAAAAAAGTTATTACATTAAAGAGCACATAACGAACCCTACAAATATATTTTATTTGTGTGGGTTTGCTGGTTCAAGTGTTATTGCAGCTTGAGCTTTCTATGTTTTTACTATTAAATTAACGTTGATCTACAGTAAACTAAAAAATCTTAATGATCATCATTATATGACCTGCACTATGTTTGTAATTAGACCGATGGTAACACCCCAATCGCATATGTATGTGAAATAGGTTAGCCAAATTTATAAACTCTATATAGTTATAAATTTCGTGATCGGCTGATTAATAATCAGCCGCCTTTACCGCCTGTGCCGCCTATGCAGCTAATATGTCAGCTATACTTTCATAGTAAACATATGTTCGAAAAGTCATCGAAAAGCATTCGTTTTACACAACATTTATTTAATGTTTGGACTATACCGGCTAATGATTTATGCCGGAGGTGATATTTTATTGTATTTAAGGTTAGCAGAATACATGATAAAAAGCGAGCAATTGACCGAGTTGGTTAGAACGGCAGAGACGTCCCGCGACAGAAGCAATCGTAATTGCACTGGGAGTCTCAGTAGGATTAGCCGGTGGGGGTCATTCCTCGCCTGCCGAAGCAAGCCGGCAGCAAGTGAAGAAATTATGGAATCACGTGTCTTCTTGTTTTGGTTGCGCGAATTTTGCCTTGTTTTTCCAGCCCTTACACGTTTTCTGATGCCTGATACTTTGCGCCAAGCATGTGTTGTTTTCAGTGCTACCCCCATTTAGATTTATCTTCCCACGCCCGAGTTCTTGCTTCTGCAGTTGCCTTGTAATCTTCACGCACAAATCGGTTTTGTGTGGCTCTCTTCTTTTCGATCAGGTGATGTACCATCACCTTACCTAGCCCAAAATATCGATATTCTAATTTTACTACATAGAAAATAGAAACTATTAAAGATTCGATGGAATGCATTCGAATTAATAATCAATTATGAAATTACTGAATTAAGAAAATGATTAAAATGATTACGTACAGAATTTGTTAGTGTATATTAAAATTTCGCAAGAAAATTTATTTTTAGGCAATCTTTGAATTTTTCTTTTTTGGTTTGTGTCACGGTGAAATAAGAGAATCAATGATGTAGATCATTCTCGTTATGGTATCGCGGTGGGAAATAAGAATTAAGAATGTAGAAATCAAGAATGTAGATTATTATGAGATCAATCAGAATCAAGATTTTGTGTGCGAATTTAACCATATACGTACACTAACAGCAGAGCCCGCTAATGTTACACGTATATTAAAACTGGTGAGGGATTATATCCAACATAAATAATTTAATTTGTGATTGATTGCAGAGAGTGGATCGGGCACTGTCTCTGCTGTTTACGTACACTCGTTTTATTATTATATAGTTACTATTTTTTTTTTACAAATATTAAATCATTATACGTATATACAACCTATAAATTTTTCGTTAGGTATAAAGTGGACCTCGGTTAATTCTAAAAAAGATAATATGGACATTTTTTTTATCCAAAACTCTTCTAAATCCTGGTCAAATTTAAATTTTTATTTTTATTTTGACCAGAATTTAGAAGAGTTTGGGCCAAAAAAATATCCGGTTTAATCATATTACCTTCTTTAGAATTATCCAGGATACTTTATAAAGTTTAATTTTATTAAATCTCATGAGAGAAAACCTGTTATCGAGATTTTAAATTTGTAAGTTACCGGACACGACCCCTAATATATCAGACAGCACTTAGCGGCACTCACATGTGTTGTTAAGAAACTTAATTTCCATATTTATGTAAATGATCTTGGTGTTTGTGGCTTATCTCTAAACTCATCTGTTATCTAATTTCATCTTAAATCCAGATATTCTTTAATGTTATTCCTAAAACCCGTGATTATTTACTGAATAGCAATGATTTTTAGAAGTTTGTACGTACGTATTATTCTCAAAAATAAGTGTGGGAATTTACAATAATGCATAAACATGCATGCATGAACGCCAAGAAAAAATTGATAACGCAGCGACATTTGATGTTACACGAATGTTATTTATTTATTCAATACTTTTTTTATACAATACTTTTTTGAAAGGTTCGCGTAACTATGGATGTAAAAAAATTCATTAAGCATACAGAAGCTTGCACTATGTTTTACAACATATTTATTGAATCCCTGTGAATCTCAATTTATTACGACGGAGAATGAAAATCACTACGTTCTCTGATTTTCACAGGGTTGATTTACATACATAATAAGTACGTAATACGTAGTACATCATTTGATTTTCTTTAGTTTGAATTATAGGAGTTTGAATAAAACTCTTTTTTAAAAGGTTCCTTTGTTTTTTATTATGTAACATTGCCTTTATTGTTGTTATGGAATGTAACGTTACTTTTATTATCGTTATGGTTATATTATCGATGTTCTCGATTTTCTTAATTAAGGTTTGCGATTCTCTTGATTATCATCGTTATATTGTTATTAAAATTAGTATTTATAATGACTTACAGAACTAGTAGGTACAGAACGTACGCTGAAAAAGGATAAATGATTTCCGAATTGATATGGGGAATTTAAAAAGAGCGAATACTTTTGGGGTAGTTTCGCCTTTCATTAGTACTTACGTACGTACGTACATTTGTGTTTGGATTGCCGTGCTTATCATCCAACTTAAATCAGAATTTTTATTGACATACAGTGTAACAGATGCAAATTGGCTAAAGCATCAATATTTTAAATATTTTGAGTAGGTTTGGGAATTTGTGAAAATCATAACCCCAAAAAAACATATAAAAAGGACAAATTTCGTTCAAACAAAAAAAAAATTTTCTTAGTTAATTATAAGGACAAATTTCGTTAAAAAAAAAATTATATTTTCTCAAAATTGACAATTGATTATTAAAAAGAAATGTCAGTAATAGGAAAGTTAGGAAAAACGGATACATTGTTTACCAATCAAATCAAAGACTTACTTAAAATACCAAAAGTAGCTGATGTAATAAAGAAAGAATTTAACAATTATCCACCTAACCTCACCGATTATAACACTGTCGCTGAGGACAAAACATGTGCACGAATTTATCATGCGCTCAAAACAGGAAGATTTGCACCTTTCCAAGACGTATTGTTGCATCCACCATCTCCCAATTTAGTTAATGAGAGCAATCTGTTTGCGACTTGGATTTATGAAGGTCGTAAAAACCAAAATGTGGACGAAACTCCAAAGGAACCACAGAGGCTCCCTGATCCTTATACTGATAAACCACAAAACCTTTTGAAGTTTGAACATATTAGACCCTTGTTTACAGATTGTGATGATTTTAATATGAGAAACCTCCAAAATGATTCAGATCCAGAAAAAGCAGTTAAAGCAATTCCCCTTCATCCTACAAACGATGAACAATTTAAAAAATTCGTAGACAAAAGAGATCTTATCCTTTATGCAGTTAAAGGAAAAGCAATGCCGAAAAATGGAGAACCATGGACTGATGAAGAGATTAATTTTTTTTGCGCCTGGATCTACGACGGTGCCGAACAAGGGGACAAGGACAAAAGTTTTGCCGAAACCATTTCTTACATGAAACCGACTTTTCCTGACGACGTTGAATTAAAACAGGTCAAACTCACAGTGGATGGGAAAACTTATAATAACATTGAAATATATGATCTAAAGCCACCTTCCACTGCTGATTCACTGAGCTATGACGAACATATCAAATTAATGTTTGCCGATGGCCATAGAGAGGCAATGATGAATTACAAACATTTTGATTTACAAAATTATGATGATGTTAACAATAAAAAAGTCCTAATTCTTCTTCGTTTAACAAGAATGGAATCGAATGATCCTTCGAATGTGAAGTTAATGCCTCATGGTAATCCTTGGCCTCAAAAAAATATTCTTCTATTTTATCACTGGGCAATACAAGGTCCAAACTCTCGAAACGATTCGGACAGTGGTCGTCCGCAAAAATATGATAACAATGATCCTGATTATCAAAATATGCAAAATTATTATAAGGAATATCTTAAATATATAAGGGATGGTTACAGAAAAGTAACATATAACTTTTATAGCCAAGGCCAAGGCCAAGGCCAATAAAACATATAACGTATTCCACCTTATCTGACGTTTTATCATTTATTGTTTTTAAAATCAAAATATATTTTTAAATCAATTTACTATTTTATATACATTGTTTAAATCAAATTATTGTTATATATATATTAAATATATATATAATATATTTAACGTTTAAGTTTTTATAAATAAAAAATTTTGTAACCCCAATATTTTCAAAAAGGTATTAACACAAACAGGTGTAATGAAACCATGTTCAAGGTTTAATACACAGGTTCTCCCAAATCTTTGAACCGTTGATTTGTGAACTTTGTTTCGGAATTCCTTTAATCTCATCTGGAAGTTCAAGAAATTGGGCCATCATGCCAACTTCAACATGCCACTTAAATACGTGAAAAAAATGGTTACACATTTTGACATGGGCTCATTGTGGATAAAATATAATATAGTGACACCTTTAAATCAATTGATTGATTATTTATTAAGGTGTCATCTATATTATATTATATTATATTGTAAATATCAAAAAGAATGTTCTCACCTCGATGTGGCAATGGAATGCCCAAACTCCAGGGTTATCCGTCATAAATCGAATTGTTGTAGTGCTTTTTAAGAAAATAGAGAAAATTAATTTATGAATCAAAACGTAAATCAAGCATTTGTAAACTAACCCTCTTTGCGAAACAGTCGCGGTATCGCGCATAATCGGCTCGTCGTATTTAAATGTGGTTACCTTTTTACTTGAATAATTGAACTGAGTGGTTTCCATAACCCAAAAGAAATGTCCATGCTAAATGTAGGTAAAGTAAATAAATATATATCCTACTGGTTGTTAATAGTTAAATATAACCAGGGTTTAAAATTCTGGGGCAAACATGCAAGTAAAATATTTTTTATAAAAAAAAAGTTTTTTTATATACACACGAATCTTTTACAAAATCCTTGCACACTATAAAAAAACTCTTCACATAAGAGAACACTTGTGCATTTCAATTTTAAACCCTGAAACTTAAATGCCGCATGGTTAGATACTATATAAAATATAACCATGTGACATCTAGAATGTATTAGCTATTTAATTCAATTTTACCAAATGGAAAGGATGGGCGATATCGTCAATATCTAAAAAGAGGAATTTAATTAAATGGCTTAAGAGGCAATAATGATATTTATTTTAAATATACGAATACATACTTCGTAAAACAACTTCAATCATTCGACCTCTCTCATTCAATATAATAACATTTTGACTGGATGGCCAAGCAGGCTTTAAACCAGTTTTACCATGTTGATATCTGTCGTATACCCTTTCCAATGTATTAAAGCTATCATTGTAAGCGTGATATATGCCCATGCGTTGTAAGCCAGTTACAGTCCCGTATGTGGTTAAACCAAAATAGTCTTTAAAATCGTCTGTTCCCAAATATTGCCTCGATGTGAACATGTTAATTTGCAAACCATAAGTTGTAATTTTTGCGTCTTTTGGTGGTAATAAACTTTTATTTTTTGGTGACAAAAATGACAAATCTAAATCAATACATTCCATTTTTTTATCATCCCATCGTTGCGTAGTTGGTTCTTTACCAGGGGCATATTTGTAATAAGGATTGTAACTAATTATTGATCTACTCTCCTTAAGAAATTCATTCTTATATGATTCAGGTGTATTTCTCCGAAGGCAATCAGGGTTTGCCTCCATACGCATCCAAAATTCTGTTATGTTCTCTGCATCTGGCTGTCTGTAAGGAATCACTGAATATCTTTGTCCAACATGAATAGGTACACGGTTGACCTTTTTTGTTGAAGTGACGAGCTCCCCTTCAACCTCGATAACATCTAATATATGGCCATCAATAGAGAAAAAGTATTCTACTAGCGCACTAAATATATATATACATATACATATATATATGGTTGTTAATAATTAACAATAGAGATACAATCATCAAATATGACAATTTTAATTATTACCCCGCGTTGATTAGACGAAATCGATATTTAGTATTTTTCCTCAAATGATACGTTGGAAATGTTTTATTACATGCCCCGCCTCCGCCTTCACCATTGACAAGGGCCGCATGTGGAACGGGCTATTAAAATAAAATGGATATTATTTTGTGGACTGATTTTTGAAGTGAAGGTTTTACATCTTACCTCATACATCATTCCGGCGGGAGTACCGTTGGTGACCAGAAAATTACTTGCATTGTATGCATGTAACATTTCTTCCGCTTTGTGATGATACCAATCTGATATAAGTACAGTTTCTTCCGGAAGGTTTTCATAGGAAGGATCAGTCTCTTTAATAATTATCAAGCCATAAAGTCCGTCCATACGCTGAGGTTTATAATGTGAATGACTAGGTTTTATATTATAGTTTCATTGTTTCAGTTATTATAAATGAGTGATATGTTTAAATAACCACCATTATTTGAATAGCCTACTTACTACCAATGAGTACCAGGAACACTGTTTGCATAAAAATCGTATACAAATGTGGTACGAGCCTGAATTGGGCATTGAGTTATGGCTGGAACACCGTCTGAAAACATCGTACGCTTCATAAGCATTCCGTGCCAATGTATTGTGGTTGGTTCATGAAGTCTATTTATTACTTGAACTTGAATCCTCTGGTTTGGTTGCGCATAAATAGTTGGTGCGGGAAAAACCTTGCAAGTAGCGTTAAGGGATGGGTGGTGGACAGATATAATATTCCGAAAACCATTTTTGGTGCAATTATCAAGATTACATCCTTTTTCTTCGATTACCCAAGTAATAGTGCAGGTTAGCCTTCCATTTTTTGTGCAGTCAACTATGTCAGGAACTGAGAATACTGAAGTTGTCAAAAGGAAAACTCCAAATAATGCAGCAAACATTAATTGTTTCATTATCATTTTCTTCTTTAGAAAAAAAAAAGCCAAATTCTATTGATATTGATCGTTCTAATCGTTCTTATATAAATTATCGTGGTTTAAGTTAAATATTTTTCAAAATTTTGGGGCGCTTTTTTTTCAGTTTCCAGCTTCAGCCGCGACATAAATAATCCAGCAAGACTCAGCCCTAATGAAAAAGTCAATGAGGTATGGGCTTTGTAATAAATACTTGCGCTTTGTATAGCCAATTTTCTTTCATCTCAATCAATCAAAAAATTTTCAGAGACTATTATGTTAAAAGAATTTTTATATTAAAATTTAATATTTTATTTTTCATTATTTTTTTTCTCTTTCCGGAAATTACCGAATCTGATTTATGTTTAAAACCTTAGCCTGGTGTTTGTAGTCAGCCTAAACTTATATACTTGACAAGCAAGTCGATATTTAAAAATCAGCTTAGCCAGTTATGCAAAGTTGATTGTGTATAGTATGTATTACGACTTTTCCACTTGCTATTTATGTCCAAATTTGCATGCTAAAATTGAATTCTAAAGAAAAAGTTTGTTAGGAAATCTCTTCTAATTGGTCATGGTTACTTAAGTCATACGGCACATTCCACAGTTACAGCGATTAGCTACAGCGTGTAACACTTCGTGTGGCCTAAACAAAAAGCAAAACTTTAGATGATGGACGTGATGTATGCTTTACGACCCGAACTTTAAGCCTCAAAAACTAATTACGTATAGTTGGTCATAAAGAATCTTTGATCAACTTTAATGTTGCATAAGACGATTGTGAAGAATCTTTATAAGTGTCACGTGCAGGTTCCTTTTTTAGTATTAAATTTGGATATCAAAGCCCTATTACATTAGATAACCAAATTTTGAAATAACATAAAGAGATTTCGTAAAATGGAAATTATATAGCAACTAACATATGGACGTTTTTATTTAGCTTAGAAATAAGAGATAAATGAAAAAAAAATAGGTCAAAAATTTTTTAAGTGTTCAAATTTGCATGCTAGACAGTTTAAAGGATATAATTTTCATATATTCTCGAGTTTAATAAGTAGTTGTCTAAAAAATTGACTACTCTAGCTATGAAATATCCGATCATGTAATTTCTTAGACTTCCTAAATAAATCAATCAAATACAACAAATAATTCAAAATAATAAACATAAAATTAGGATTAACATTGGAACTAGAAAAGCCATAGGCTATAATCAAAATATTTTGTTTTTTTTTCATTACACATTTTGATTGCTTCTTTTTTGCCAATGGCTAAGGTAATGATTTACATGGTGGTAATTATGTTTAGTTCTTTTTGAGTTAATAAATAATATGGTTATGCATATGTTGGACTATCCATGTGGCGTCCATGAACTGGATACTAATTTGCTTTTTTGTGTTGGACTTAGACTCAAAATTCGGATTCATGTAAAAACATGTGGCTCAAAATATTCGGGTTCATATCCAAAAAGCTCATGGATAGTTCATATTGGTCAAAATTGAATATCATCATTGTCGTTACTAAATATTTTGTATATATTTTTGCTGAGCAGATGGACAACGAAATATCTAGCCCAGCCCAGTCCATGCGGAATTTAATAAATAATGATGTTCGTTTTGATATTTATATATTGATCCAAAAAAAAATTTTTATGGATTTTTAATGTTTTTTAAATATTGGTGATTGTGGCTGCTGATAGCTGGAACTAAAACTACTATATCTAATTGATTAATTTTAGCATCAGCCATGGTTTTTATTTTTAGAAAAACACGCCATCATTTTGTAATTTTTTAAATTGTTGTAATCAAGTTTACTTGATGTTTATTTTAAGCAAAAAATAACCTTTTAATTTAAAACATTGTGTTTTAAAATATTTGTCATTCTAAATGAGCCATATTCGCTGTTTATGTCACGCAAAAATGCCAATGTGGAACCTAATAGACAATGATGTTCGTTTGAGAAATAAATTGTAAATATTTATATATTGAGCCATTTTCGCTGGTTTAAATCACGTGAAAATTGTAATGTGGGACGCAAGTCCGGAATGTGTGACAGGTTGATCGACAAAATTAAGAAATAAATTTTTTCTACTAATAATTTTATTATGTATTGACAAATAATTTGAACATCGCACGTGAATAATCTTTGATGATTGCGCAGGTTCGTCATTGTACAGTAATCACCAAATTTTCCTCCATTATAAATTGACTGTTACATGTAATCTACTATATTTCACTGACAATCATTTTAATAGCCAACATTACGCCAAGTGATAATTTACTAAAAATAATGCATAAATGCTGGAACCTGCCAGAAACTAGTGGTAGTAGGGCTGTTAATCGGTCCGTCCGGTCCGTCCTGGTTAAAAGACTGCCAGTCTTTTAAAAAAACCGGACCGGACTGCGGTCCAGGACCGAATAGGACCGAATAGAGCTAGGTCGGACGGACCGATGATCAATATAATACTTTTTTGCTATAACGATGAAATCAATGCGTACCAATATTGAAAAAACTGATAATCTATAATTTGACAATAATGGTACATTACTTACATGCGGATCGAGCAGATTACACTTATATCGGATTTTGAACAATATACTGTGTTTGCATATAAGCGTTGTTTTGGAACACGAGTTTGAGGCAAGCTAATAGTTAATTTAGTCGAATGCAAATTATAATTTTTATCATTAAAAATCCTCGGCTAAATTAATCATTAGCTTGTTTCAAAGTCGTGTTCCAAAATAATGCCCATAGGAGTTATTTTGCACAAATACAATGCAAATTGTAAATCAACTTATCACACCATTGCTGTCATTAATACGTTAACAACAGCCCGTTCTCATTATACATTATACGTGGTTTAATCTTGTTTAACAAACTAAATGGTTTGTAATTGAATTTTAACCAAAAACAACATTGTATAGTTGTTTCACAATGCGTATTATCATAAGATTTAGTTTATTTGATATTTACTATTAGGACCGACGGTCCTTTCGGTCCGTCCTAAAAAGGACCGGACCGGCCCCGATCCCTGGACGGACCGAAGGACCGTCGGTCCGGTCCGGACCGATTAACAGCCCTAGTTAAGAGCCTATACCCCGGGTATATTTTAAAGACGCCCTAAGTAGATTAGTTAGTGTCGAATGTGTCGATCATGTGATGATCTACAAATAATTCTAAAAAATCAATCAACATCGCCAAAATTGTTTACAAGACTTTGATCGAAGATATCTCAGCAACCAATCGATCAAATTCA